GATTTCTAAATAGCCCATAATATAAAAGCAGGGAAGCCTCTTAAAGGAGATAACTATGCTTTCTCTCACTTGCTGTATGTACCAGTTCGTATCAATATATGCATTAGGATCTAGTACAGGTAGAGCTGCACAAAATATCCTTCCTTTCTACAATATTTTTGAAGTGTTAAGAAATTTTCACAAGTTATGAATCTGGCCTCATGCAAAATATCACTTCTGCCAAGGAAGTGTAGGAGACAGCGACTCCCAAGAATGCCATCCTCCTCTCTCAGATGTACCACACCGTAGGTGTGTCACCCATTTTAAAGTAACAAGAAAACAGGAATGCCATAGCTTCTCTCATTCCTTGGGAGTCTCAAAACAGCAGAGACTCCCTATGTCTGAAGAAGGGTGATTGTACCCGAAAGCTTGCTAAGAACTTTTTTCCAACTACTTGGTTGGTCCAATAAAAGATTACCCAGAGAAGCTTGCCTGCCATAGTAGACTGAAGCAGTGAACTCTGAGCACCAGTATTCTAGGTCTGACCTTGGCCAGTATCGGCTACATCTGAGGAAGGGATTAGGGATTTTGCAGGTGGCAGTTAGCTGCTCACAAATATTTCTTTCAAATCTCCATTTCTGAGAGTTGGCACATGCCCTGAAGCTAGATATTTTCCATTTCAGGTTATTGTTACTGTTCTTACTCCTTAATAGTCCATTAAATTTCCCTTTATCCTACTTGGCCTTAAGGAAGGATGGTCTGTAGTAAAGGTGCTGGCATGGAAATCAAGAGATTTCAGGAAGTTTATAGCAAGGCACTGTGACCTGGTGCACCTTGATTCCCCATCTGTGCATTGGGGATAGTAACCCTTTTCTACTACACAGGGTGTGAGGCACTACTGTGCTACGGGAGCATGCACATGCATTGATAGAGATCTTGTTTATTTCTGTCAATTACTGCCATATAAAAGAAGAAATATGTCATTTCAATTACAGAAAACTTGGTGTGTGCATAAAGCAATGTCTCTCATCTCATTTTAAGCTAAAACCTTCTCCCTCTGGGTGTTGACAGACTGATAGCTGCTATTTCCAGCAAAAAGGTGATTTGAGGTATAAAAGTTTTTGTCACTTCCAAATTCCTACTCTTCTTAGAGCTCTCAAACTCCCCATTGTGCATATGGGACATCCTGCAGTCTCCTTTATCCAGTACCATGCTCCAGTCCAGCTCCAAAAGCCAATATTATTTTATAGCCTTAGTTACCATTTACATTGCAAACACACAAGAAGTTATGGTAGGTTTGAACCGCTCTTTTTACCCCTCATTCAAAAAACACCACAACTCCACTTCTGAGTTAAGTAAAGAAGATTATGATCCATTCTTTACGCTAGTTCCTTCCAATACTAGACACCAATTAACTATACATTTTTGTTTTTCTTCACTCAGAATATTGTCTTACAGTATATGATGACTATGTTTTCCATTAAAAACATCATCAGTATTTTTATATTCCATCCTGTAGCCATTGTAGATGTTTGTTTAATCATAATCTTTACGTCGTTTTTTTCTTTGTTTTTCATAAATGTTTTTCTATAAGTGAGCATAGACATGCATAAGAAAGTAGGTTTGTTGTTATTCATGACAGTGAGCTTTCGGGCTTAGAACCTCAAAAAGTCAGTGCTCTCATGAATAAGTCATCATGGGTTTCTCAGAGTCTAATTAAAACTCAGTTTACAGAAATACTCCTGCTCTGGTTGAAATCAGTCCCATTGACTTCTGTCAGATTAGGATGTTGATGTTGCTGTACAATGGTTAGTGAGGAGGGAAAGGCTAGACAACTCTTTTATGGTCACACTTCTCTTTTCTTTCAGACCCACATCCTGAAAAAGATGCTCTGTACTCATCTGAGACATGCAGAACTGTACCCCCTGCAGGGGTGTTTCTCACCTGTAACCACAAACATATAGCAACAAGTGCTGCTACAACAAATGTAACTCTGAGCCAGGCCAAATCAGAGCCAACACCTGCACTGAACTGTAATGCTGCTCACCCTCTGCTGCACATCAATACGCTGTATGAAGATCATGAGGAAGAGGTTTCAAACCTTATAGACAACAGCATTCACTCACCAACTGAACCCAGGGAAATACTCTCCATACCCACCCCAAAACAGAGAATGATAGCAACATTTGATGAACCAATGGCAATAGTGAGCTCTGTGGAGTACTAAAGAGACTGCACTGCACAGCTGTACCCTGATGGTTAGGTCTATCACCACTGTAAGTTAGACCTTGCTATCCACAACAATGCAATTTACTGCATGAGCATGGAGAGTTTTAATACAAACTATAGGCTTTGGTAATACTTCAGATGTTTTCCAGGGTCACATCATCACCACTGTTGGTAGCATATGAAACAGAAGAATAATAAATCCAAATGGAAATACACCTTTACTGTAAACCTCCTCCCCACCACCATGTGACACAAAGTTGTAGCCTCCTGAGCTCCACGTGGTCCAGACAACTTCTGAAATGTTCATTCAGTGACACATCACAGCAATTTTTTTTTACAGAGTGCATATATCCTCTGTAGTTGACAATTGCGAATTCAAGTTAAACAAACAAAGGTAAGGTGTGTATTCCATTTTAATGGTAGGAGTTGAGAGCATCAACTAATAAGAGGAAAATGTCAGGAGAATGTTTCTCAAGAAACAGGAACAATCTGCAGGCAAGCTTTTCTTCAGGTTTTTTTTGACTCACTAATGCTGGGCTTGATGGAAATTTAGGTTGAGGGGCCTATTAACACCAGCAGTTAGTGCAAAAGGAATTGAAATTCTTCAATTTCTTGTATACCTGAATGAGAAATTCCCTGCCCTTTAACAAGCTTATATGTTTGATGGAAGATGATAAAATGAAGAGTTTATTTTTTTAAATATATTTTACCATAAAATTACTTTGTAGCTTTTCAAATCAGGGGTTAATTTAACAAAATGGGTAGAAGAGGGTCATTATAGCTGTTTATTTTTTCATAGCATTTCTGTGAACCAGGTTAGAAACTTTAATGGGTGCTTTATTGATATGAAAAATCTTACAAAGCTGATAAAATATTAAACCAGCAATTTTGTCAAACAATGCACAGTTAAGGAGGACTATGAATTTAAGTCTGCAGTATCTCCAGAGGTCAATCCAGCAAAACACTTAAGTATGTGCTTAGCTCTTGGTAAATGAGTAATTCCACTGACACTGAGACTATTCACATATTTAAACTTAAACATATGCCTAAGTGTGTCTGCTGGGCCTGGATCCTAAAGTATGCAAACAGTAATCCTCCAGTATATGCTCTCCTTGTGATTCAAAGTCTGCCTATCTTGGCTCAAAGCACATCCTCATGCCCACCTTCCTATAACTTTGACATGTGTGATTTTTATTAGAAAACTCTAGGGTAATTAAAACATCAACTAAAAATGTATCATGCAATAACCATTCTCAGCAAAATTATAGTGAAATAAAAGTGACTTAAAATAATTACAGCTACATTCAAAATTATGGACTTTCGTGTGTTTGCTTCAAAACTCTGTATAATGGTAGAACAAAATATACAGCACAAGTATGGGACTGAAATCTTAAATATATTTTTAATTTATATTACCTCAAACATGGATATGTGATGCCAGTATTTAATGAAAAATAGCACTGAAAATAAACATTATTCTGAATATCTTTAATGTGTACTCTTTCATAACCAAATGACCCATCCTTACCACATGACAACTAATGAAACTTTAGGATAAGTATTAAATGCAAGTTTTTGAAACAATATGCCATTCCATCTTACATATCTGACTTTGTTGATGGCAGATAATATGGTATACAATTTTAAAATAATAAAAAAGCCAATGACAGGTTTGGGGCTTTATTCTGATTTTCATACCTACATAAAATTGCACTAGTTGGACTGTATAAAGAGTACAGAATCTGGCTCTTAAACATGAACTTCCTTGAAGCTGCTTCTTCATTTGGCCTGCTGACCAGCTGCACTCTGTAATTTTCATCTGAAATCAGCACACATCAGAGTATTCCTGGTAGGTATGACTGCCTGGCTTCACTATATTTGTGCACATTCTGCTGACTGCATGCACTACAGCAGGCAGAAACTAACAGGTTAGATTGAATATATTTTCAGCCAAAGTACTGTGGTCTTAAATTCCAGTGAGGAGTGCCTACACTGTTTAAAATAGTCTAAAAAGGTCAGAAACCTGTTATTGACCACAGAAGTCAGGAAATGCCATTGGCCTAATTCACAATCAGTTTAAGAAAAAACTCCTTTGCACAGCTGGAGTTGCAGCTGTTTAATCAGCACAGAGCTGTTTTTCCTGATGTCATGTGTTAGAAGCTACGGGCACTTATACACATTCTGGACATCTGCTCTAATGTACTAATATGAGCATGCATCAGGGCAGACTCAATTAATCCAGTCTGCTGGAGCATGTTAATTAGTATGCTCCAGCAGCCTCCGTATCACATCTATGCAGCATCCCCATGCTTCAGAACAGCAGCAGGGGCACTTGAACTGAAGCTCATCAAACAAGCTTTAGTTCAATGCCCCCACCACCATCCTGAAGCATGGGACACTGAATACATGTGATGCTGCAGGCACTTTTTAATTAGAGCAGCTCTTGGAGCCACTCTAATTAAAGCACCCATCCTGCCACCCTAGACCATGTGTATAGATGCCCAAAGGTTTTACACTTACAGAAAAACCTCTTGTATTGTCTTCTCGTTGCCCTTGGTACTCTGTATTGAACAAAATGTCAGGTTTTGCCATCTTTCTGACTGCTTCAGACTGCAGCAAGCTACCTGAACGTTTAGCTAGCTCCTGTTAGTTGTTCAGTTCCTCTGCCCAAAGGGAGTCCCTACCTTAATTAAAGAATAATAATTATTAATACTATATCAGAGGATAGAAAGCTTCTTTGGATCCAGAATGGCATACCCAAGATCCCTTGGCTCTAAATATTGCTCCAAGGTAAGGCTACAGATTTACTTACCCCATGAGAAACTCCAAGGAAACTCAGGCCCCCTTGCACATCCCACCAAGGCAGAGGTGGGCAATTATTTGGGGCGGAGGGTCGCTTACTGAGTTTCAGCAAGACATCAAGGGCCACGTGACAGGCAGCCGGGGGCAGGTAAATATTAATTTTCTAAATTTTTAGGGGCCCTGCGGGCTGGGTAGAATGGCCGGGAGGGCCGCATCTGGCCCACGGGCCACATTTTGCCCACTCCTGCACCAAGGAGATGACGAGCACCACTGAAGATTCCAACCCTGAAAGATCTTTTCATTTGGACAAGAAAATTGTCAGATGAGGCAAAGGGAATTTGAGGGGCAGTTCCCTTGACTAAGGGATCCCCAATAGATCTCCAGCCCCTTGCTGGCCTCCTACCAAGACTTCATAGCCCCAGCTGCTTTTGATTAACTTTGAGTATGTCACAGGACCAGTGGCACCAAGGACTCAGGAAAAAACTTAACCAGTCCACAGGAGCAGCCTGGGTCTGACCCCAAATGTCCCCAGTAGAGCAGCACTGACCTCTGTTGAGACACCCTTAGTATCATCACATCTATAACTCCCAGCACCTGACACAATCATAGTACCATCCATGTTGGCTTAGAAATGGTATTTAAAGGTTTGTGTTTTGGGAATTGGCCTATAGGTATAGATTATAATGGGTCAGGATGGGCAGCAGGGGTTAATTGATTTCTAAGAAGCCTGGGTCTCGCAATCACATGATATCACAGCCTTGGAGGCAGACAGGCTGTCTAACACAACAAGGACACAGCCTGAGAATTGAGGGCGTATGCATTACGCTGCCCATAACACGAGATAAAGTGACACCAGCTGACAAGGCCCCAGAGCAAGGCAGGGAGGGGTCCCAGTTTTGGAGGAACTGACCAGATTAGGAGAAGGCCTGGAAGGCTACGTGGAGGTGTGACCACAGAGAGACAACCAACCAGAGATAGCTACGGACAAAGTCATCAGGAGTCTTCACGAGGGAAGGAGAATACAAAAGCAGAGACTTGAGAGTAAAAAAGGGTCCCTCCTTCTCTTCCTTTTTGTCCCTCCCTAATCCCTCCCCATCGCCATCCCCATCCCTGTCCCCCAGGAGACAGAGGGCATACGACCAACCCATCTCATACGCCGCTCGGCAGCCCACCTCCAGAATGCTGACATGCTCCCACCCAAGAGAACGTCTCCGTGGAGCCCGTGGCCTGCCCAGATGTACTTTGACTCTGTTGACAGTCCTAAGATTTAGCAGATATATAGAATTGTTTGTTTCTTTGTACTGTTTCTTTCCTGTTATCACTGTGTATCAATAAATTTGCCCATTATCGAATGGAGAGATCGTGGTTGGTCTGAAGGTGCCTCCCCCCCCAAACAAGGTCTCTGGGTCCTAAATCCAGAGCCAACAATCCACAGCATCAGGGCAGGTTTAGAGAGCGTTGTTACCTCCTTCACACTCACAAGTACTGAAACAACCAAACACACCACTCAAATTCACAGAACTTGTGAACTTATGTAAACTACAAATGAAGTGCAACTGATGCTGCTATCCACTTCCATTCCTCTGCCAGTGTCATCAGCATCAGCCTCTCTAATGGCTCTTAAACTGATGGCATTCCTGTTCATTATTTTCCCAGGGAGACAGGTGAGGAAATGTGGGCACAGATGGTGGATCCTCCTCACTCTGTTCTCCATACCAACAAGGTACCAGTAAGGACTTATCCCTCTTTCTGAAGGAGGTAGCCATGAGATTCTAGCTAAAATGAACAAATTCACTTTCTGATATTCTTTCCAAAGCCTTGTGTGTCCAGGGTAGAGGCTTTTATGAGTTAGAAATGTAACCCAGGCGGTACTCCAAGAAGTACCCCCTCTCCAATTGAAGGGATCAAAGCAGGTGCACAAGCGCTGTGGGAGGTGTAGGGACTCTCCTCCCCTATACAGCAGAGCCAGACCACCAATGGGGACTTAACCATATACCTTTTAATACTGGGAACATAACAGGCATAAATCAGAGGGTATAGTGGACACTGCAATGCCCAAGGGGGCAGGATTCGACAAAGGTTAGACACTTACAGTCATTGACAAAAACAGGGTTAACAAAATATAAAACACAAACAGCAGATCAAACAATACGGGTTGGTGAAATATAAAAAGGCACAATATGCAAAATGTCAAATGACAAGGAAACATAGGGCCTTGGTACCTGGAGGGGGAGAAAACACAATGGCCCCTTTCCACTGCAAGAAGATGTGCTTCTTGTTATCTCACTCACCCCAAGTCACCACAGCTGGGACTTGCACCCAGATCCCGCACATGATAGGCAGGAACATTGCCCCACCGCCACCACTGGTGGAGCTACTCCAGCCTGCTAGGGGGCTTGACCTTCCCGGAGTCCCGGCCTCATGTCAAGCTGCCTGGCCTCTGATTGGAGGAGCTGGAAGCAGGGCTGGGAACCCCTCAGGTCACTGCTCAGATCCTTCCTGGAGCGGGGGAGCCTCTCCTGCTGGCCGCAGCCTCTCCTCGGGGATCCTGGAGCCCAGCAGGGAACCTCTCCTGCCGGCCGCATGCCGTGCTGCTGAGGGTCCTACTGCTGCCTGCAGGTCCTGCTCCTTCAAGCTCTTCCAGGGCACTGCTCCTGCCCTGCTGGCTCAGCTCTGTGAAGCTCCTTCCTTGTTGTCCCCCGCTGGTCTCTCCTGAGTCAGCCCACGCTACCCCTTTCACCCCTCTCCAGGTGACCCAAGGGGCCAATCAGGGGACACAGGGGGTGAGTCTCTGGGGCCTGATTGGTGAGGAAAGGGAATCCCAAGTCTTCCAATCATCTTTTTCCCTTTCAAAACCCCTGGGCTAAGTCACTGCCAGCCAGCCCCTCACAGACACAAGGTGCACACTAGCTTTTTGGTTATAGATGACTAAGCCATTTGGGTCCTCTCCACCCAAAGATGAAGGGACAAGAGATTTTTCCAAGTAAAAATGCACGAGGCTAAACTAAGAGATAGCCATGGTGTCTGCAGCAGCGATCCCTTGTGGTCGAGGATGGTCACTCCCTCAGGTCAAGTAAAGGGTTGCAGATGACTCTGCTGATGTGATGAGTATGTAGCCTGTATCTGATGGGTATATCAGAGTGCACTACACCTGAACTCAAGCACTATGCAGCCTCATTAGACAGGTACCCACATTACCACAGTTATCTCCAGAGCAGAGCTCTCATCCAACAAAGCTTTGCTTCACATACCGTTTGTCCAAGACTCCGAGACCCTACCGCGGAGCAGCGCGAGCACTCCTTTGGTGTCACCCAGAGTGGCGTGTCAGGAGCCAGAGCAGCAGACGGGTGTAATTATTCCCAGTGGACCAAGCAGGCTACCTGAGAGGGCCGGGCTGCCAGCAACCCAACTACTTCCAGCTGGCCCAGTTACTTGCATGGAGGTGACTGCCTGCTTATAAGCAGCAGCTGTTTCAGGTGCCCATGAGGTTGTGCAACAGAACAGATGTCTTTCTAACCTTGGACTTATGGCTACTAGATCCTGGTTTCATCCTTGCTCCTGCCTATTTCTTCCTTTGCTTCAGACTTGCTGGCTCCAGACCCCTGCCCTTCCTGACTCTAGTCCCAGCCCCCATCTTCTGATAACTGTCTACTGCCTTAGGGCTTTAGTTTGGTGTCTGTCCACA